CCCTTCATGACCTGTGGCCGCCTCTACCTGCTGTCCCCACTGATGGGAACCAGAGTTCTCTGATGAATAGCTCCTTTCAGATCTGTGGCAAAAAGTTCACAGATGAGCCAGGGACACCTTGTGCTGAAAATGAAGGAAGGAATTGAGGAGCTATGGGGTCATATAATGTGGCTGCGGGAAGCAACATTAAAAGCTATTGACCAAAGAAGGCGTAATGGAGCATCGAAAGAATAATGACTGTAATTGGCTTGAAAACATTATATATCTAAAAATCTCACGATTTTAAATAACAATCCAAAAATGAGATAACTAAAAGCAAGACAAAAACAAACATAAACAAAGCCTTATTTTTCCCCATTTGGAGGTACCTAGGGTACCTTACAGAATCATGTCTTTTTAAGGGAAATAATTCAGCTTTTGTCTTGCCTTTCCTGTTTGGACTATATTTCAAGTTAACCCGATACCCTATTTGAAGAAGAAAAGTTATTTTTGAGAGAAGAATTCCAGACAAGTGGGATGAATGGTAGAATTAGAAAATCACCCTCTTGTGGTCTCAAACAATTGATTTTGGCGAATGTCATCATTAGTGAAACTATCACGTAGAGATTGGTGGTTCCCAGGCAGCCTGACTAGACATTTCTCCAAAGAAGACGCACTGGTGGCCGGCAGGTACAGGAAGTGGTTCTCAGTATCACTCATCGCCGGGAAAATGCAGATCAAAACCAGTGAGATACCATCTCACACCTGTCAGGATGGCCGTCGTCAAAAGACCAGGAGGGAAGGACCAGCGAGCGTGTGGAGAAATTGGAACCCTCGTGCACTGGTGGTGGAATATCAGCCAGTGCAGCCGCCATGAGAACAGTGTGGAGGTTCCTTGGAAAATTAAAAATAGAATTTCCATAGGATAAGGTAATTCCACTCCTGGGAATTTGTCCAACAGAATTGAAATCATGACCTCAAAGAGAGATTTGGTCTCCCACGTCACTGCAACATTAGTCACTGTAGCTACTATGGTTCAAGCCACCTAAATGTTTATGGATGGATGAGTAAATCTACACGATGGGATGTCATTCAGCCTTAAAAAAAGAAGGAAGTCCTGTCATTTGCAATGACATAGATGAGCCAGAGGACGTTATAGTAGGTGAGATAAGCCGATCACAGAAAGAAGGACAAATACGCCTAACTGCACTTAGATGAAGAATCTGAAACAGTCACACTCATGGAAGCAGCGGGTAGGGTGGCGGCTGCCAGCAGGGAGGGCAGCTGGGACACGTTGGCCAGAGGGCACAGAATTTCAGTTGTGCAGGACGAAGTGGTCTAGAGCCCTGCTGGAGAACATTGTGCTTGTGTAAGTGTGCCGTATTGTGCGCTTACACATGTGTTAGGTGGACCTCGTTACAGTCTCCGAGGGACGTCATGTCACAAGCCAAACCTCCCGACCAACATTAGCGTCACTCACTGTGCAACAGTTTAGATACTGTACATTCCTCCTGCCATTTGGAAGTGCACACCCGTTAATATCCACCGTAAAGTATTCTTGTGGAAAAAAGGTAGAGCCTGAACCGAATTGAGTATGCATAATTTCTGGCTCAGGGCCCATCCACAGGATGCTGGAGCAAGTCGAAAGATGTCACACACAGGCAGGCCGACGAGTTCTGGCTGGAATGTTCTTCTGGACTCGGACCCCATTTCGTCAACAAGTCTGTGGCATAGAAGACAGCCAGGGAGAGAAAGCGTTGCTCCAAACAGCGGTGCTGGAAAGACGTGACAGCAACGCACAGATCTGCTCTGGGTCCTGCTTACCCAAAACAACTGTGACCAGTGTGACCGGCCAGGACTTCCTTTATTTTAGGTCAGCGTAAAGTGCCAGTGTAGGTGTGTGTGCAATGTCCGTATTTTTAGAGATACTTACAAAGTACGTGGGACGTTATGTTAGCAGTTGGCTAAAAATACTTCCTACTTATTCAGCCACAAAAACTGAAAGGGAAAAAGCAAAGAACAAAGGTATGGCAGTTGAAGCAAGTAGAGCAAAGTCTTAACGATGTTGTGTTTGGTTCTGTACGAATGGGCTGGTTGTGCAATCCACCGTGCTTTGGTATATATTTGAAACTTTTCGTAATAAAAAGCCAAGCACAGACTTTGGAGATAGAACTAGACACAGAGGACCGGGGTTTTCCATTGTGCAAGCCCCCCTGGTGGAAGGAGGCTGTCAGGTTCTAGAGAGGTGGACTCTGAGGCCCCGTCTCTGACCCTCGGAGTCTCCCCTGTAGCAGTGCACCGTGGTGTCCGCCGTGCGGGTAAACAGACGAGCCTCCTAGCTGCACTCCTGGACACCTGCTTGAATCTTACGACGTGGACAGCTGTGGCTGGACTGCGATGGCTCCCTTCACATGCTGCCAACGCCGAGGGTTGACGTAAGCAGCTCATTTGCCAGATCCCCCCGCCCCGATGTTTCACTATAAGATCACATTTTCAAAGAATGAACTACCAGATACTAAGATGACTGGCCATGTAATTGGTCATAGGGCCAAGGACGCTGAGAGAGACTGGCTTGTTATTAGAGACGAAGTCGATGAAGGTTTGCTCAGGATTGTTGAAGCGGCTGCGGCCGCCAGCCAAAGTGTATGAGTCTGTCAGGTGACCAGCGGTCCATCCGTGGCGGCCAGGGACCCCTCGCGGGACTCCTCGAGGGGAAGGGGCAGGGCCAGGGCGGAGCTCATCACTGCGTCTGCCGGACCTTGATGGAGGTTGCCGAGAGAAGGGGGTCGTGATTCTACCTCCAAACCTGAGGGACAGCCCCGCCATCAACATCCAGTGTTTGTTCACCTGGTGGTGGCCACAGAGCTCCACGTGCCCGAATCAGGGGCTTTCGGACAGTCTTGGTTTCTGCAGGAGGTGGGCGATGTTTCTGTCTTGATGGGATTTTAAGTAGGGCTCTATATTAAATCTTGAACACTTTGGCCTTCTTAGAAAACTTCACAAGTTTTTTGTGAACTAAAAATTCAGTGATCTAAGACAATATGCACAGTCCTGAGAAACATCCTTTCTGGAAATACTTGAAAAAACAAAGTGAATGTCTGTGATGTGATCGTTGATTCCCCCGGGGACGATATCAACACCATTAAGCTTCAGACACAGAGTGAACTTCTGTGTGCGATCCTTTTGTCCGTTTCTTCTGTGGAGAAAATCCAGGCAAAGGGAAATGAAGGACACGTGGTAGGAATAGCGTGAGACAGAAAAACGAAAGCAGCTTCACCTTCAAGGATGCGGTTCAGCAGAATTACAAAACATTCATAATGAACTGGTCTAGTTGTGTTTGCAAAACATCATCTTTTTCACTGGTACATTCAGTCCCGGACGGTTTTTGTGAAACATCTTGAACAGCGAAGCGTCTTCCCTGCTCCTGGGTGGGCTGGGCCACACCCTCATCCTTTGTGAGAAGACGCTGCCCGTTCTCAGGGCTCATTAGTTTCAGAGTAAGACTGACTTTGTAGGGTTTTATTTTACGTTTCGTCTTTCTGAGTACGTTTTAGCCACGGCTTATTTCCCTTTGATGGGGACAGGTGGCTTCATGAATCGAGTAACTAGTATTACATCTAATCAAAACACTGTGTTCCGCACACAGGTTGCAGGCCATTCCTGTGTTTTCAGCATCAGACAGGTGCATCTTGTCCGTTTGGGCCGATTGTTGCTGCCGTTTGAAAGGGCAGGTTGTGACGAATGTGAACCTAATAAAATATGTCTGATATTTGTGGCTGCAGACTGTCGTTCTCATGGTTCCGGTTTGCCATGGCCAGAAAGATTCATTTCATTCAAGAACCTTCTGGTTCTTCTGGGAGAAAAGGTAGGTTTCATTTAAAAGCATTTGCATACAGGAAAGGAGAGGCAGTTTCTTAAATAACCGTTACTGATTCTTCTCTCGCGGCCTCACGGCGTCATTTATGGGTGTTGTGAGATGTCACGCAAATGCCAGGCGGCATGCAAGGCGGTGTCCCATATGTGGCGACAAACCTCAGTGTTACGGTCCCCAGAGTGGGGTCCCTGGGCCCGCAGCAGCAGCCTCCTTTGGGAAGTGTTGGGAGCACACACGTCAGTGGCTGCTTTTCAAATAAGCACGTTTCCAATAAGAACAGCAGAAAAAAAACCAACAAAAACATGCTTTAAATATTTCCGCTTCAAGATGTATACAATATCTGTTTGTAGACTTTATTTCAGGAGCTGCTGTTCAGCCCATGACAGAATCGTTTGGAAGTTGTAAATTTGAAGGGCTCGTCTGTCCATTGAAATAGACTTTTTGTGGAAGAAGGAATCACGTAGATGTCTTGCTTTTTCTGTGACGTGGCATTTCTTTTTTATTACCAGTACAGTCCACAAACCACTTGTTTGCACATTTTGTTACCTAAAAATTAGAATGGGTCTCTCCTCTCTTATATCACATCGGGATGGGGTCCCGATACCATATTTGTGTCCCTAAAATGAAGTATTTGATGGCCTCTCTCTCTCTCTCTCTGTAAATATGCATGCATCTGTCCAGCTCTCTCTATACATATCTTTTATACGCATATGGTAATACCATCAGACAGTATTGTATGTTTTTATTTAAAATTTTAAGAACAGCTGTACTATAGAAAAAATTCCAAGTATTTGAATTGCTCGATTCCAAGCTAATTTAGTAGGAAGCAAGGTGTGCACATGTTTTTGTCTCAAATTTATGGAAAAGGACATAAACATCACTTTTTCACTCCGCTTGGGACTTGCAGGCAGGGCTGAACTGTGGAGGCATCAGGGGCTGTGGGTCCACTGAGACAATAAAGGTCTGAGAGGCAAGGAGGAGAGAGGCTGAGTCACCGAGTCGGATCTCCGGCTCAGGCGGCGCTGGCCTGTCAGGTGACCGGCTGCTGCGGAGTCACCAGGCTGTGGGGGGCGCTTCTGCTGTGCACGACTCACGTGGACCGTTGGCCCTTTCGTCATGGAGCCCCGTCTGTCTGTCTGTCTTGCAGGCGTACGTGTATGAAATGGGCTCGAGCACATTTTCTCACAGACTGGCCGGACACACGGACACCGTCGCTGGCGTGGCCTTCAGCCCGTCAGCCCCCCAGGTACGGCCTGCTCGTGTGGGCGGGGCGCGTCTACTCCGGACGCGGCTTCCGGCGTGTTTCCTGTGTTGGCCTGTGTTTGGTGAAACCCTGGAACGCTGAAGGTGACACGGCAGTGTTCGTCACGTGCAGGGAGACAGACGTGGGAACCAGACCTTTGCTGGGGGAGAAAGGGAAGGCGCAGGGCGTGTTCTTCCGCGTGGCGGCCTGTGTCATCCCGTTCGCCTGCTGGGAGCCGAGCTGCGGGGAACGCGGGCGGGCCGAGTCCCAGGGCAGGTGAGAAAACGGTTTTGGAATTTCTCATAAAAAGAATTGGGAGCAGGAGGAGGACCACAGCATTTAAAGAGATCGGCCTAACTAGGAGGAGACATGAAAACAAAATTACATCAGCCTCACGTCAATCACACGGAAAGAGTGTGTGGTCTTGTATTAAATTGTGGAGGGGTTTGTATGTGAAGACTGGTAACGCTTGGTAACGTGAGCGTACGGGGATGTGGATTCAGAGAATCACATCGGCGTGCGATTTCGTGGGTCCGGCTGGTGTGTGCGTGTGTGTGTGTGTGTGTGTGTGAACGAAGGTGGACCACCCCCGCCCTCCCCGCGGCACACTGCTGCCTTCAGGGGCAACCTAGACACTCGGGCACGTCTGGCTCCTGGTGACACTGAATGTCGAGGACCGGATGCGCGAGGCCGGTCACGTCACTGACCACAGAGCCCCCACCCCGTGCCGCTGAGGTCCTCGCGCGCCTCGTCCCAGCGGTAACCCTGATGCGGCCGGTGGCCCCCTGCCGCAGGCGCTCCGGTTGGAACGTTTTCTGCTCATGTGGTCATGATTCGCTCACCCCCTACGTAATCAGGCCACGCTGCAGATACCGTCGGTCCTGGCCTTTCTGGTGGGTAATCCGTGCTGTCGTTACCCATTCTGAATCTCTCCGGCGTGTTTTTCGAAGTCGTTGGATTCCTTTCTGAATCCTTTGACGTTGCGCTGGTGAGACGGCCGGGCGGCCGGGAGGGAAGAGAGCAGAAGACAGAAGCAGGGTTAGAGGCGCATGGGGCGGGGCGGGCTGGCGTCGGCACCTGTCCACGGGGGGATGCCGGCTGCTTTGAGAATTCGGTATTGGCCCGGAAATGCCTTTTGGCATAACTGAGTGAGGAGCTGCTCCGAGTACCTGCAGAGTTTCAGTTGGACGACGTTGCGTGGGGTCGTATCGTCGCGGGGATGGTTCCGGTGCGCAGAAGCGGCAGGTGTGACCTAGGAGAACGGGATTTCAAAATGTTCCCCGCTGTTCGCGTCCTTACCGGTCCGAATACGAGCGCTTTCATTACCTTTGTTAAGTTCGCTACGAAGACACAGTAGCTCATCATTTTAACTCGCCTTCCTTTGGACACTGTGAGGGTTGTGTGTTGTTCCATATGCTGTTAATTAGTTGAGGGTTTTCTTTCATTTCTAAATGGCTTGTTTATATCCTTCATGTCTTGATCTGTGGGCCCAACGTTTTGCTTCCTGACTGATCCAGCTTTTAATTTAAAATTGCCATATTGCCCTCTGTATTTACAGTGTGTTTTGTAGATTCGGTTTTGCTTTTTACTTTGTTGTTTTCTCTTTCAGGTACGGAACCTGGATTTGTTCTAATTATTCTAGGCCAGAAAATTTTTTCTCTTCAAAGATTTATCTTTCTGATGGAATTACAGTAGGATCTTTAACTTATTATTGTAAGATTTAAGTTCCTGCCTGACTGTGCCAATATCTGGGTCATTTCTGAGTCTAGTTCTGTTGGTCGCTGTGTCTCCTGACAGTTGGTTTGCTTACCTTTCTTTCTGATGTGTTGTCATTTTTTAAGGAATTCTGACTGTTGACTGTGGAAGGACGCCTGGATGAACAGGTCTCTTTTTCTGCCAGGCTGTTAGTTTGGTAGCGTTAGGAGCTGAGCAAGTGCCATTCGCTTTAATTATTAAAACAACGATTATAGTGAGGTCAGTAGGATTAATCAGTGTGGATCATCACACAAATAAAAGTACACAGAAAATACTGTTACTTTTAGGAACTTTAAAATACCTGGTATTCTTCCCAAGTCACCTTTTGTCAAACCTTTCAGAAAATTTTATTTCCTAAGCATATGAGGAAGAAATTTAAATCTGCATGTTTCAAATAGGTCACCTAACTTTAAGTTCTGCTGAGGAAAAATAACCTAAGTGTATCTGGGAAGGGGTTATTTTCCTTGGTTTTTAAATTGACTAAAAGTTTGTGATTGTTTTATCAGTTTGGATTCGTAAGTTCAGAAGTAAGATTACGCTACATCCCTGTAAATCCCCATCTGCGAATAACCTGCCCCTGCGGCTGGCGTGAAGTGACCTTTGCTGAGGGAGGTGAGGGGTGAGCCGTGGGGACCCTGCTCCTGGTGAAAGTATTCTATCTCATGAAGAGCGGTTTCCCAACTTTTTTTTTGTGAACAGCATAGTTTTAATGACTTTAATGTAAATCTATTTCTACTGGCCTCTGCACATAAATTTACAATACCTGTATCTCGGTGGACAAAGATGTTACTGGAGACACATCGGATACAGTGTCATTTCAGGGCCTTGAGCACAGCTGCTCACGTATGCTGCCACGGTGATGTTTATGGTCACTTCCATCTAAAAGAAGGGAGACGTTACTTGGAAGACGTTACTTTTTATACGCGGCGTTGTTTCAGTGAGTTAAGCGTTGGCTAATCCCGTATGTGTCTGCACATAACTTTAACACTTGTGTCTTTTTTGTTGATTTCATAACTTTAAGATGAACAAAAGGGATTAGTTGAGAGTGAGTCAAAATATGTTCCATAAGGACAATTTTAAGATTTACTAAACGTATTTCTGGACAAGGAAGTATCAAATATGCACCATGGGCCTTCTTGTGTCCTCACTCAAGACACCACAAAGTGGTTGAGAGGTCGCACTGTCTCTGACCTATGCTTTCTCTCTGCATGTTCGGTGGTCTAGAGCCCTCATCTGGGGTGATATCTCTGCTCTCCTCTTCCGTTTTAGTTCCTGTGTTTGCCCTTGTTCAGTTTTCGACTATCCGGTCAGACTCCTGGCGAAGGCTTTGCTCCTCCCCAGATTCTCTATGAATGGTGCATGTGGCTTCTTTGTGGTCTTGACTTTGATCACGAAGCCAGAAGGAACCTCAAGAGATACACTGGATCCATGCGGGTGCATCATGGCCCCAACAGACTGGAAAAGTGGATGCGAAGGAAATAGCACTTAATCAGGTGGTGGAGCCGAAGGAGACCACAAGCAATCAGGTGTGAGCGAAAGACACCCAATGGAATGACGTCACACGTTTTCTCAGAGACCTGGGAAGACGGTGACCTGTCTGCGGAGGGCTGAGTGCAAGCAAAATCCAACCAAGATGAGGAAGAAATGAGCTGCTGGCAAACGAGGCAGAAGAAGTAGGAAAAGATATTATTACCTGGACCTCAGAGTCACAAACCCCTGTCAAAGGGACTCCCGGCTCCCCTGGAACGGTAACCCCACTGGTGTCTCCAGTGGTTGGAATTCGTATGGAGATGAGGTGTTTCAAGCTCACGGCGTTAATAGTTTTCCATGAACTTAGGAATATATCTGAGAATAATTAATGTTTTAGGTGTTTGTAGTGTTTTAAGGTTTTGATATATTAAAATATCTGATTCCAATTTGAAATATGAATCGATTTAGATTTGTAACTTTTTAGTGAAGAAAAATGAGAAAATTTTTCTCTTTGTCAGCAGCATTTGAACTTTTTATTTATTACTTCTTTGTTTTTTAAAGTTCATTTATTTTATTTTGAGAGAGAGAGAGAGAGAAAGAGCACAAGAGGGGGAGGGGCAGAGAGGGAGGGAGACGGAATCCCAAGCGGGCTCCGTGTGGTCAGCACAGAGCCTGATGCGGGGCTTGATCTCGTGAACCGTGAGATCATGATCTGGGCTGAAATCAAAGAGTTGGATGCTTAACTGACAGCCACCCAGCCCGGTGTCCTGATGATTCTAAACCATGAGGCTGAGCAGGGGTGGGGGGGGGTCTCCTCCCACTGCTCCGCCCTTGCGTGCGGCCCGGCTCCAAGGGGAGCTCGTGAGGACCCAGACTCGCTTCTCAATCTGACTGCTTTAGTCGGTGGTTATTGGGAAATGGGTCTCAGCCCCACTCAGGGCTCCTCCCACGGTTCTGATTCAACCCGGAAAACTCCATAAGGAGACACATTTAGAGAGAACCCGAGGACATCTCCGGTGATGGTTAATTGAATGGCACACACTTGTGCAGCTGTTCCTGCAGGCACAGACATGGGTGGTGGTGTTACCAAATTCAGCTCCCGTACGTTCTGAATTCTCCAAACGGAAACCCAACTGTCCTTTTTAGAAACCGTTTCTCCAATTTGGCTTCTTAGATAGGAATTTATAGAGAGGAAAGATAAGTGAAGAAGGTTTTAGGGTCAGGACCAGATGGTACACCTAAAATAGTGATGTTCACCAACTTGCTTATGTGGGAGGAACCTGCTTATTAGGTTGATCTGATAGTCACAGTGAAAGTGAGTGGTTGGTTATTATTGTCTCTGCTTCCCGTGGGGGAAAGTCCGCTAGGAGACATTGCCCGGGATGTGCACTGCAACACCTTGTGCTAAGTTACGTGCCGCGTCTAGTAAAAGTCGGGGCCGGGCGCTGGACTCCAGGGATCATGCTGTTTCCTTGACTCACGTTTATCTGAGCAGAGGCTCGAGGCTGAGACGCACAGGTTCCTCTCGGCCTCGCGGTCGGTGCGGTGGCTGATGGAGGAGTGCCACCGCCGCCTGCCGTCCGCTCACCGCCAGATGCTCAGGAACCTCCCTTTTCCCCGCAGACCTGACCCGTTACCAGCACTCAGCCATGGGAGGGACGGTCTCTTCCATTTTGCTTTCAAGATGCTTTTGCAGATTGACACAAAGAGGTCTAATTTCGATTTAACTTGAGAGAATATTGAATTTCAGGTGAGTTCAATAATCAGAAAGCCTGGTTTTTTTGTGCAGTTTAGAAATGCTCATTTTTCCTATTGGTTTTGATGTAGAGAAGAATGAGAACCTGGGCGCCGAGTTATTCCTTCCCGTGGCCTTTAAGGAAAGTCTGCAGTGGTAGGAGGTTTGCTGTGACCAACGGAAGTGACAAGTTTAACTTAATTTTTCTCGCAGGACGTGTCCTAGGCCTGCCTGTACCTCACAGGTGACAGTGGAAGGTGGGGTGCCATGTGCTCCCCTCCAGCCCCACTCTGGGCGCACCCCCACGCCCCCATTT